CCTCCGTACTCCACTCCCACTTTACCCTACCCCCTCCTCTCTCCCTCTCTCCCTCTCTATGTATCCATCCATCTACCTATCTCCCCTTCCTCTGTCACACCACCACTTCCGAGGCTCCTCTTTCTCAGACTCTCTTACACCTCCACCAGACGTGCAGGACAGGCATCACATCGAGGACAACGGCAGGCGCTCGCGGCTCCTCCGCCTCTCCTTCCGCTTGCCGGCGTGTCTGCAGCAAGACCGCATCCTCGTCCAGCTCGTCTCATCTTCCTGCTCGCCTCCCATCGAGTGGTGGGGAGCAAGAGTTTGGGACCTTGGGGGACCCCAGCAGGAGCTCAGCTGGCCATGGCGACACGGATGGGCAGGGGAGGCGATCACGCCGGGGAGGACGGTGGCGAAGTTCAGGGTGGAGATGGATAAGTTTGGAGACGGAGCGAAGAGGAGAGGTGAGGAGCAGGAGCAGGCGGGGGTGAGGGTGAGGGGCAGGAGGAGCGGAATGCGCCTAGAAGGGAGAGGGAGGGGGGATATGGTGGTGAAGGTCTTGATTGGTTCATTCATAGGAAGTTGCGGCAGCCAGCAGTTTCTAGTTTCTGCCTGCAATCGAACAGACTCCTCCTCCTCCTCCTCCTCCTCCTCCTCCTCCTCCTCCTCCTCCTCCTCCTCCTCCTCCCCCTCCCCCTCCCCCCTGCCCTCTCATCTGGTTTCTGCGCAATCCTCCAGCTCTTGCTCATGCCCGTCTCCGTCTACAACCTCCCCTCCCACTCCTTCCCCTTCCTCCAGCCGCTGGGGGATCGGAATCAAGAAGTCGCATGTCAGTCGACAGCAGACGTTCTTGCTACTGCTGATTTGCACCCCAGGAGCGTTTCCTCATCTCAAAAGTCGTCGAGGGTTCTCCGGCCGACTTGTCTGGTCTCGTCCACCAAGGTTGTGGCCTCCTCCTGTTATGACGATCCTTTCCTTGTTTTCCCGTTCACATCCTGCCGAAGAAAATTCCCTTGTCTCATTTCCTCCCCTCCCCCTCCTCATACTGACCCTCCTCTTCCCCTCCCCCTGCTGACCCTTCTTCGAACCCCTCTGCTCTCCTCTCCTTCCTTTCCTTCCTCTGCTCATTCTCCCGTCATGCAGGCGACATCTTGATCTCCATCAACCATGTCGAAGTGGGAGGCAAGGGGCTGCAGGAGGTGACGCCACTGAGAGCAGGGGCAGGAGCAGGAGCAGGAGCAGGAGCAGGAGCAGGGGCAGGGGCAGGGGCAGGAGCAGGAGCAGGAGCAGGAGCAGGAGCAGGAGCAGGAAGAGGAGGACAGGGGGGAAAGTGGAGGAGCAGGAGGAGACGGAGGAGGATAGGCTCTGACCCTCCTCCAGGTGATCGCCGTCTTTCAGTCCTGCCCTGTCCGGCTGGTCGAGGGCCCAGCAGAAGCCCAGCAGCAGATTCTGATGCTCTCACTTCGATCTCCTCGTGACGGGAGCGTTCGGCATGTCGAGCTTGCGATGTGACGCGACGGGAAGCTGGTGACGTCACCGCCATCGTCTTCTGCCTCCCTTCCTCTCCATCTCACTCCCTCTCCTCCCCGCCCTTCTCGCCTCCTCCTCCTCGTTTTTCTCCTCCTGCTCATCATCATCATCACCACCACCACCACCACCACTACCATCATCATCGCCATCGCTATCATCATCATCATCATCATCATCATCATCATCATCATCATCATCATCATCATCATCATCATCATCAACAACAACATCATCATCATCATCAACAACAACATCATCATCATCAACAACAACATCATCATCATCTTTGTCTTCCTCGCATGCTTTCTATCCTCATCCTCATCTTACTCCTTCTGCTGTGTTCTCCTCGCTCCTCTCCCCTTTATTCTTCTCGTTTTCCTCATCCTCGTTCTGTGCAGCTTCTGCTACATCCTGTTCCTTCATTCCATTCCTCTCCCTGCAACCCTCCTGTACATTCCCACAGCTTTTCCCTCACTATGCACCCTTTCATCCTCATCTTGTCTCAACACAACAACACTGCTGTGTCCTCCATACCAACACGCATGCAAACTTTGTTTTCGTCTTGTTATTCTTTTATTCATCTTCTCCTCCCTTACTGATCTCAATGAATTCTATCTACATCCTCCCTCCCCTACTCTACAAACTTCACATCAGGTCTGAGATTCTCGGCCGCCGCCTCGCGGCATGCGGCCCGGCGGTTGCTGGCCTGATGTGCGGGGCTGCTGCACGAGGAGCTGCAGGGTTGCCGAAAGAAACCTGAGGAAGAGATGAGGAGGAGAAGGAGGAGAGAGGAGAAGGAGGAGAGAGGAGGAGCGTCGAGACGATGGAGCAGGGTAAGAAAGGACGAGGAGGAGAAACGTGGAGAAGACGATGGAGGGCAAGAGAGGAGGAGGAGAACGAGAATGAAGGCAGCAAGAGCAGGTGAGTGCGTCTGGCGGGCAGGAACACCTTCGAGTCCCCAGCCAGACTTGCGCTGCTGCCTTGCTCTGAGTAAGGCGCGAGGTTGCGATCAGGAGCGAAGTTGCGGTTGGCCTGCCCGCAGCAGGTGAGAGAAGCGAAAGAAATTTAGAAAAGGGAAGGACACAAGAACAAAACAAAAGCATATCACAACACTGCACTGCACTCAGAAGGAAGAGCAGAAAAGAACCGGAAAGGAAAGGAAAGGAAAGGAAAGGAAAGGAAAGAATCGGAAGAGAGAAAGCAGAACAACACAGTGCTAGAACATTGAAGAAAGAGACCTCTGCCACGTTGGTCGATATCATCATCATCTGCTCGCTGATCGCCGTCTTGATGTTGTCGAACTGAGAAGGCTGCTCGCTCTCGTCTGGTGTGAAACTCAATACAAGAGGACAAGGACGAAAGCAGGAGAAGGAGTTGAAGGAGGGAAAGGAGAAGCAGGGGGTGCATGGCGAGGGAAAGTAGAAAGAGCAGGATCAGAGGGGCAGAGGAACAGGAGGAGCAGCAGGAGCAGGAGCAGGAGCAGAAACATGGTCAAAGCAATTCCTCCTACTCCCCTTCTGAATCCTCTTTCTACCTTCCTCCTCTTGCTGCTTCATTACTCCTCTCCCTCCCCTCCCACCACATCCCCTGCTCCAAGGAAAATCATTTCCACCTGTAATCACTCCAAGATCGTTCCATTCAGCTTCTGAGATCTGATCTGTTCGCGCCGAGCCTAAACGAACTTGTCAACTCCACATGGCACGTCGAGTATCGACAAGCATATGAAGAGCGTGGTGAAGAAAAAGATCCGCAACATCAATATCCGCTAAAGCAGAGCAGCAACAACTCTGATTGCATCCTCTGCATCGTCATCTTGTCATCACAGTCACAGCCACAATCACAATCACCAGCAGCAGCAGCATCAGATGACTTGAACAACAACATGCTCGTCACAACAAGTTCACCTTCTTGGCTCTGGAGCTTGTCCGTCTTCTCGTTCAACTTTCCCGCCCTCAGCACGACGGCAGAAGGTCGGGCGAGCAGGTGAGAACGAGAGGAGAAGGCAGGAGCAGAGATCGGTCGGGTGATCTTATGCACCAGGTTGGAAAGCAAGATGCCAGGTCGTGTACGCCGTTCTGTGAGCCTGGGAACAAAACGACTCAACACCCTCGTCGACATCATCATCAGCAGCAGCAGCAGCAGCAGCAGCAGCAGCAGCATCGTCTTCCTTACGAGTCGGTAACAAATTGGCTGCGTGTCGGCCGATCCCTTGCGGTCTGGCAGCGAGTGTACATGAGCTTGCTCTCGCTTGCCCCCTCTCCTGCAGAGAACAACAATCAATGAGCAGGAGGAGCAGGAGCAGGAGTGGAAGCAGGAGCAGGAGCAGGAGCAGGAGAAGCAAGAATAGGAGTAGGAGGAGCAAGAGGAAGAGGGGCAGGAGGGTCAGACCGCGCGTCTTCGTGTCTTCCTGCAGGAGCTTGTGGGGCTGTAAGAGATCACCTTCGCTCGCTGTCATCCTGACCAAGATCGACTTCAATCACATATCGAGACGAGAGACAAGAAGCCCCTTCCTTTCCCTCCCATTTCTTCCTCTCCCTCCTTGCCATGCGCTTACTCGCTTCTCTTCCCTTTTCTTCCCCTCCTCTCCCCTCTTCCCTTCCCTGCCCTGCCCTGCCCTTGCCCTTGCCCTGCCCTGCCCTGCCCTGCCATGCTCTTCTTCCCCCTCCCCGCAGCCTCTCCGACCTCGTGACTCGCCGGTCGATGAACTGCCGCACTGATATGGGACGGGGATGCTCCTCCTCCGCCTTCTCTCTCCCCCTCATCATCCTCTCCAGGTTCAGTTGTAACCTCGGCACCATCCTCGTCCCGCTCCTCGAGTATCGGTTGTCGCCATCCAGCCTCACTCCGCTGCCCCATCCCCGCGAGAAAGCTGGGAAATGTTGAGTACGCGCGCAGAGAGGAAGAGAAGAAAGAGGATGACCAGGACCGAGGCGAGGATGAAGCGGCAGAGGAGAGGAAGAGGCAGAGGAAGTGGAAGAGGAGGAGAAAGGGACGAGGCAGAGGAAGAGGACGAGGACGAGGGAAGCAATAGTCGGCACAGAATGCTAAGAGGAGAGGAACGGAGGAGAGTAGACGATGGGAATCGAAGATCACCTGGTGCTCGTGGGGTGCCGGACTCTTGCTGCTCTCTTTTCCTTCTGCTCTCTACGACCTTGCCGGGACATGAATCAGCACGGGGAAGAGGGCAGGAGCAAGATAGGAGCAGGAGACGAAGAGAAAACAAAGATTCTACCTCCTTGCTGTTTGTTAGCTTCTCCACTTCTGCAATCAGACATCAGTTTTCAGCTGTTCGCCACGTCTACTTCTCTTACGATCTGCCGATCCTCTCCTGGATGAAATGGCAGCCTCCCCCACCGCAACCTCCTCTGCAATCTTCTCTTTCCTCTCTCCCTCGCTTCCCTGCTGCATGAAACCTTGAAGCTTTTCCCTCAGCTCCTCCGGAACAACTTTGATCATGCTCGCTATCAGCTCTTCCACCTGAACCAGCACGTCAGCGCCCGGACGAAAGGAAGCTGAGCAAGAAGCAGAGTCTACTCGGAGCATATGGGGGAAAGGGCACAACATGGAGACCAGAGAGCAACGGGCAGGGAGTGAGAACACGGGGGGATGCAGGAGGGGTCCACCGTGGGTCGATCCGAGGGGTCCTTGAGGAGCATGGAGCGTATCAGGTCCCTCATAGATCTCGAGTATGACCCCGGCAGCGCCCTCGGCTCCTCGTGCAAGATGCTCTCCCCCAGCACGTAGATGTTCTCCCCAACAAACGGCCCCCTCAGCGCGCTGAGCGTGTACATGAGCACCCCCAGCGCCCACACGTCTGCCTTGAAGTGGTAAGGCTGGCGCCTGATCAGCTCCGGCGCCAGGTACAGAGGGGTCCCGACCCTCGACTCCGCCATCTCCTCCTCCCCCTGCAGCACCCTGGAGACCCCGAGGTCCCCGAGCTTGATAGTGTTGTTGTGGTCGAGGAACACGTTTACAATCTTGATGTCCCTGTGAATGATTCTGTTGCTGTGCAGGTGGTGGAGGGCCAGGGAGAGCTCGCACAAGACCCTCCACAGGAACTGCTCTGGGATGTGGAGCTTCCGCAGCTTGTGGTCCTCGTAGATCTTTCCCAGGTCTCCCTTGGCTGCGAACTCCATGATGATGTAGAGAGAGTGCTTCTCCATGAAGGAGGTGATATACCCGATGATGTGCGGGTGCTTCATGCTCTTAAGCATCGACACTTCCGACATGACCTCCTTCTGCCGCTGAGAGGACAGGTGGCCGCACTTCACCTTCTTCATGCAGTATATGCAGCCGTCTCGGTTCGAACGCACTTTGTTAACCACGCCGTAGGTGCCTCTACCCACCTCTGACACGATCTCAAAGTCACTAAGGGACGACCCAGGGCTAGAGCTTCCACCAGGGGGGTCTGAATCATTCTCCATTTCTGCACTTGACGCGGAGGAAGTCCAAGATACAGAAGCAGGGCCGCGCAAGTGAGTATTGCTGGACTTGCACCAACCACACGACTATCTCAGGGTCTTGCAGCTCGTGCGAATCAGTGGAGGAAGAGGGAGAATATCACGCAGAGTCCCATCCTTCTCGTCAAGTCCGCAACGGCAGAGGCGCGAGAGGCCCAGAGCAAGCGCTGTTGACTGTCAAGACAGAATTGAACTGAGCAGGCCGATGCCGCTCCTGCGCTTCCCTTGGGCCTCGAGATCAACTTCCTGCTAAGGGACGACTGTACGCCATGATCGCTCACTTGCCGTGCCGCCACCTCCGTCGACTCTCTCCCGCTATCGTCATCTCCCGTCCATCGTCAGCACCATTTCAGGGTCGATGTCCCCAAAACTTCAAACCTCTGAAAACATATCCAAGCAAAAGTTGAAATTAAGACTACAGTAAAGTTGGATTTCGAACTTCAATATTCACAAATAGTCAAATTCCCTTTTACAAGTGGTCAAAATATTTTTTACAATTTCGAAAGAATGGCCGGCAGGTGGGCCGCGGCCGGTGGCGGGAATGGCGAGAGGGAGAGGATGGAGGAGAGGAGGCCAGGAGGAGAGTTAGGTCGCAGCTCTCAGTGACGATGCTTGAACTTGCCCTGGTCCCTCCCTACCGTGCTGAGCTCCTGCAAGGGAAGTGTTGAAGAGGATGAAGAAGGGTGCCACACCCAAGTCAAGGTCGAAAGTTGAAACTTCAACGAGGATCAGGACCGGGAAGGTCGTCAGCCCCAAGACATCAGAGGACAGCCTGCATGACATGTCCTCCCGTACTCCCAAGTCAAGATCCTCCAACACGGTGCGGATCTCAGCGCGAACGCCGACCGTGGCAACGGTCGGGCGAACCAGGTCACCCAGGTCCTCCTCCTCGCTCAGCCAACGGAACGCGGGCATGTCGCCCATCTCGTCGAGCGCGTCTCCTCTCTTTAGCCCCAAGAGCCCTCACTCTCGCTCCAACGACTCCACCCTCCTCCAGCTCCAGCTCGAGAACGAGCTGCTCATGACCAGGGCGGAGGCGGCAGAGAGGAGGTCGGAGCTGCTGAGCACGGAGGTGGACAGGCTCAACGACTGCATGCTGCAGACGCAAAGAGCATGCGAGGAGGCGCAGGTGCAGGTGGAGCAGCTGAGGAAGCAGGAGGCGGAGGCGAGGAACGAGCTCGATAACCTTGACCGGGAGTACAGGGACTGCGCGTACCACCTCAAGAGCCTTACGGAGAAGAACGCGGATCTTATCAAGGCGCTGCAGGAGGAATCGAGAACAAGAGCGAAGATTGAGGCAGCGAGCAAGCGGCTAGCGGCAGAGAACGAGACGCTGAGGAGCAGGGCGGACAAGCTCAACATCGAGGTCGCAAGGGAGTCGACCGAGCGGAAAAGCAGCACGAGCATCGTCAAGGACCTGCAGAAGGAGACGGAGAGGCTGAGGGAGGAGCTGAACAGCGTCAGGATCGATCACAAGCTGCTGCTGGAGAAGAAGGCGAGCGGCGAGCTGCAGCTGCAGGAGAGGATCCAATCTCTCGACTCGCAGAGCCGTTCGTACCAGGATGAGCTTGCTGCCTGCAAGCAGAGGCTGGCAGCGATAGAGCATGAGGGGATAGAGAAGGTGAGACTGGGGAATGTGGCGGAGGAGAAGAAGGATGGAGGGGGGGGAGGGGGGTTCTGACTGCTGCTATGTGCCGAGCAGGATCGAGCAAACCGAGAGCTGAAGACCATGCTGCACGAGCAGGGGGAGAAGCTCAAGGCAGTGCAGGATCAGGTGACCATCAACAACGACTACACGGAGAAGTTGGAGGAGGAGGTGAAGAAGAAACAGGAGAGGCTCTCGACTGCTGCTGAGGTTTGTGCCTCGTTTCCCCTGTATCTATCGATCTCCCTCCCTCCCTCCTCTCCCCCCCCCCCCCCCCTCCCTGCTTCCTCTTCCTCACTGCTCCTCCCACAATTTCCCCTTCTCCCCCCTGCTCCCCCTGAGCGCAGCGTCAGAACGAGAAGCGGCTGCAGCTGAAGATCAAACATCTCGAGGAGCTCGGGCAGTCGGGGGAGAATCACGTGAAGGAGGTGGTGAAGAGAATGGACAATGAAATCTCACAGGTATGAGTGGGATGGGATCAGGAGGAGGTGGTGGTGGTGGTCGTAGTTGTGTGTGGAGGAGGAAGGGGTTCGGGCAAAAGGAGGAGGAGGAGGTGGTGGTGGTGGAGGAGGTGGTGGTGGTGGTGGAGACGGAGGTTTTAGTTTTGGAGGAGAGGGGTGGGTGGGATGGAGATTGATTGGGGGGTTGAGGGTCAGAGCTCACTGGCTGGTCCAGCTGCGGTCAGAGCTGGGGAAGGAGCAGGCGGAGAGCAGCAGGCTGACAGAGAGACTGATCCACGTGAGGTTGTGCTGGGGGAGAGCTGGCCTCTGACTTGTTCGAAGTTTGAGAGGAAGGCGGAGGACGCGGACAGGGTGATCGCCGAGCTGGAGAAGGAGGTGCTGTGGAGGAGGGGGGGGGGAGAGGCAGTTAGTGAGCTAGTCGTGCTGGGTCGCAGGTGGCGGCCGTGTGGGATGCGAAGGAGAGAGGAAGCAAGTCGCTGCTGTCCAACCAGGACGCGCTGCTGGCTCTGCAGCAGGAGGTTGACACGCTGAATGACACGCTGCGGGAGCAGCGATCGGCGAACAAACAGGAAAGAGGCTAGAGGAGGTGGTGGTGGAGGATGGTAGAAGCAGGAAGAAGGGAGGAGGAGGAGGAGGAGGAGGAGGAGGGCGAGGGCGAGGAAGTAATGGCAGGGCAGGTGCTGAAGGAGAACAGGAGCATCATGTTTGAACTGCGGACGCTGGAAGAAAGGAACGCCTCCTTGCTCAAGGTTGGGGGAAGGGGGGAGGGGAAGGGGAGAGAACTCACCTTGTGCAGATGCTCGGGGGGGAGGAGGAGCGAGCGACTGAGAGCGAGAAGCAGATAGATGTCATCCGGGTGAGTGGCGAGCAAGGGGGAGGGAAGGCGGAGGGATCCAAGAGGAGAGAAGGGGAGGAAGAGATCTGGGCACAGAGTAAACAGCAACTGCAAGGGGATAGCGGGCGAGCAGAGAGAGAGAGGAGGCAGGAGGGGGGGCCGCACTGAGAGGATGAGCAGAGGGAAAACTCGGAGCTCAGCTCGACCTTGTCGCTCAAGGAGAAGGAGATCTCGGACATGTCAAGGACCTTGACTGAGGCTCAAGGGGAGCTCGCGAAGGTAACGAGGAGGCAGGAGGGGAAGATGGTGGTGGCAGGGAGGAGGAAGTGGGAGGGGGGGGGGTAGAATTGGGACGGTGGAAGAGGGGGGAGGGGGGAGGTTGCTGACAGCAAGAGGAGGAGATTGTAGAAGGGAGCAGGAGAGGTCACGGTGGGGGCGCAGGTTTCGATGAGGATGCAAGCTGAGGCCAACGAGGCGGCAAGGCTGAAGACAGAAGTTGAAGCGCTACAATACAAAGTGGTGGGTCCGGTCGAGAAAGAGAAGGGGGGGGGGGGGGGGGGAGGAAGAGAGGAGGGAGAGGGATTGAGGTGTGGGACAAAGCGTCGGGAGCACAACCATTGAAGATCTGTCGAGCAAGCTAGACAAACAAACGCGGTGAAAAGGAGGAGGAGGTCGGGTACTGGGCGGAGGACTGTAGCTCAGAGCACGAGGGCAGGTCCATCATCATAAGGGGAAGGCGACCAGCGTGTGCTCGAGACTTCCTGCTGACTCCGGCAGGTGCGCGGAAGCTTCTTGCTCTGTCCTCGCCCTTCCCATCCTCGGACCTCAGTCACACCATGACCATGTTGATCGCCTCCGATGCCTTAGAGGCCTACCTCCTGCGGGACCCTGCCTTCCTCGGCTCCAGCTCACCTGGGCTCGACGGGGAGTGGCTGCCCCCCTGCCTTCAGTTCGGCAAGGTCTGGCGGAGGACAAGCAGGGAGCTCGTGCTCTCCTATTACCCCTCCTTGCTCAGCAACCACTACCTCTCTTCCATCTATGGCGTGCAGCTTCCCCCAGCATCCGACGCCTC